ACAGCGCTTCTAAGCCATCAATTAGAGGCACGCAGTTAACATTTAATCTGGCCCACGACTCTTGCGGCCCAATTAAACTCTGAATTCCCAAACAAAGAAGCCAACTACGAGCAGCGGCACCTTCTGGGCAAAGGATGCTATCAAACCCAGAGGCGCACTTAAAACTGAGCCCACACTGTTCATTGGCATCCTCAATCCTCAACCTGAAAACAGCACTTCCTTTCTGATGACGGGACCAATTCACTGCACTGCCAATTTAAAGGTGCCCTACAAAGGAAGCACCGCTCGGAGACACACAGGATCCAGATTCCTAGGATGGCCAGATTCTTGCAGCGTGGGGTGCTTGTGAAATTTCCGAAAAAGCTCTGACTAGTCAAGCTGCTAACCCTCATGGCCTCTGTCTGCAACCTACGCCCCCAGAAGCTGCAGAAAATAAATGCACAAATCACACACACACACACACACACACACACACACACACACACACACACGGCCTCCACCTCTGAGTCATTAGTGGGGGACTCGGTCATCTTGCAGAGCTAGGGTGAAGAAGTCCTGGGCTGGGGAGATTAGCAAGAGGGCTGTGTGTGGGCGTCTGGGAAGGGACAGACAAAGGAACAAGGAAGATTGCTCTCCCGCAAGGTCACCAGGCCTGAAAGGAAGATAACAAACAGGGAAGGAGGAGGGCAGGCGAGGGGGGAGAGCTTAAAGGGCCATGGGGGCTAATGCAAGAGAAAGCTCTTTGCTGGGGGAAGGGAGGGCAGGGGAAGGAGGAGGCCCAGGGAGATGCTCCGATCCTTGCCCGCTGCTCTGGTTCTGGGTCACAACCAGACGATTCCCCTTCCTTTCAAGGCCTAACCAGGGGGAAGGGGCTCACCGCCCACAAACCTGAAAAACACAGAGGTAGAAAAACGCCAGGATGGAGAGAAGGAATTCTGGGGGGCAGAAAAGTCGGATGCCCAAGCTTGGATAAAGGCACGCTGGAACTGCCTGCATCAGGGCGAGGGTTAGGGTTGCCCGCTCCTCAGGACCCTGGCTCTCTGGCTCAGCCCCTGAGCATTGAGCGCATCAAGGCATCTGTGGGGGATGTTCTCGCTCACCCAGTCACGTAAGGCAGCATCTGCAGGGCGGTTAAAACAATCAGGCTCCCGACCAGAGGAGCAAACCCGATGGGGAAGGGAAGCGTGAAAACTCACTTTCCAGAACGTGCACCTTCCCAGCACCAAATCGTGGGTCTTTCTGCTGCTTCTCCTAAGCAGCTTTCTAGGACACGTCCAGCTGGCATGTCTCCACCCGACAGCCCCACGCAGACCTGCAACGGGCAGAGGCCCACACTTGCAAGAGGAGAGGCGGTGTGCAAACCGTGCCGAGCACTGGAGTTGGGGGACCCTCCTGCAGCAAACCTGCAGGGCACCTCTCTCCTCCTCCGCCCGAGGAGGCGGTGAAGAAGGCCCACGTGCCCCAGAAGGCCATCAACCACAGAACGGCAATGCCCTGGGCAGGCTTGCTTGCTGTTAGCCTGGTTGGCTGCAATTAAGGAAGGCTGTGAGCAGCAGGCAGGAGATGCCAGCTGCCGCCCTGAAGGGCCCTTCTCCGCCCTACCTCCTCTGCAGCCCGAGACCCAGCACTGGCAGCTTATGGGGGGAGAGGGCCTCCTAGAGCCCTACCGATGCAACAAGTACCCCTGTGCTCCTCGGATGGGGGAAATTAGCCTCCTTCTCCTCCGTTCGAGACATCGCCATCCATGAGCCTCGCTGGAAATGCAATCTCTCCCTTCCCAGGCCTTGGGAGAGACTCACGCATCCCTACAGCCTGATCGCGCTGGTGCTAAGAGACCGTGGTGGAGCAGTAAAGAGGATTTACGGTTAAATGCAAGGGGCCTTAGCAGCCATAATTTCTCCTCCTCTTGACTTAAATGGATTTTGAACTTCAGAAGGGAGAGGCAGGGGAAGAGGCAGCTGCACACCGGGAGACAGATGCCTGGTGAATAGAGGAGGTCAACGGTGTTCTGCAAAGAAAGGAAGCTTTTCCCGCAAGAAGGCAGGAAGAGGCGGCCATTCTACCCAGGAAGATGCTGGGGAACCCGCAGGCAGCCAAACCTGGACAGAGTCTGGATCAGCGCGAAGCTCGCCTCCTTCTGAAAAGGATCCCAGCCACAGAGCTGCACCCAACCCCCGGGCGCGACCAGAAACATGACCCAGTTTTGCACCCGTACTCCAGAGGCTGAGAAAGGTAAATTCCAGGGTGGAGAGACCAAATTGCAACTTTGCACCACTGCCTTTTCATGCTTCCCGGGCGTGGGTGAGGTCTGGCAGATGCAGGGGGAAGATGTGCGTTGAGGTTACTCCTAAATTAGAAGAACTCCCTGCTCTAAACTCTGCGTGTTTCAGCCTCTTCCTTTCTCTTTCTTTTCTTTCACACCCACCCACTCGAGGCTCATGAACTTCTCCTAATGTTCACCAACAAGTCACGTCAGACACACGCGCGTCATTCGCAGCCACAGAAACACACTTGGGCCATTTTCACCCTAGTGGCTTCACAGCATCTCCTCAGTGTCGCCCAGCCCTCGCTGAACAGCTGCAAAGCCCATTCATCCGCATCGCTGCTATGCTGGCCCAAGGACGGTGGGTGGACTCTAGAAGACCCTGGAGCAAAGCGTGAAGATGGAGCATGGCTCGGCCACTGGACGAGGCCACAGGTGTATCTACTTCCACTGAGATCAGAGCAGGCCTCAAGACGGGCGAAAGGGCTGGGAGGAAGCGTCCCTCCACTTTTCTTCATGACCACATTCTGAATTCTCAGTAAGCAGGAATAGTGCCCAGAATAAATCAGCAAAGCCTTTACACTTCCCAGGCTGTCCACAAATGAAATGTCCACTCTTATTTGGGGCCACAGACCCCTCCTTTGCAGGGGCTGGGAAGAAATCCGCAACCTGTTGTCTCTGCAAGAGGCGTGAGGGTGGCCCGGCTCACGTGGCTCAGTGATCTCCCCTCTTCCGGCCACGCCACCTGCTCCCTAGAGCTGGAGCTGCCGAAGGGATAACAGTGGGGCTGGCAGAGAGGGAGAGAGGGCCCTTTGGCTGTATAATGGGTGAATCGGCACACTTCCCCCGCGTCCTGGTTAGCCTGGCTCAAGAGGAAGGGGCTGGATTTGCACCCGTGCTAAGCTTCGTTACTTCCAATGTTGCTCTGCTGAGGCTTTCTGGGGGTCTCCCCCACTGCCCACGCATAGCCTCTTTATAGTCCTGTGAATCTGCAAATTCAGAGGAGGAGTTAACCCCACAACTGGATTCCCCTTGTCATGAGAACGCAGCTGTTCTGGCTCAGAGTTGCAGAGTTGCGCTCATCCCTCGTCCCTCCGGAGAGGCGAGTTCTTTCATTCAGCCCCGTTTCTACATCTCTCCTGCCTCCCCTCCCATCCTCGCCCTTTGTGTTCCCTTGCGGTCAGCGAAAATCGCCAAAGGGCTTGCTTCCGTGCCCCCCTCACCTCCTCCTCCAAAATCAGAACGCCCCCGCCTCTCCCTGAAGCAGGAGTGGAAGAAGGCATCTGCAAAGCTCTGGAAGAAGAGGGGGGATCCAGCTGGGTCTTCCCACCCGGAGCACAAGGGGGGCTGTGGCAACCTCTCCCCCGAGCGCCAACGCTCTCCATCCCTGCCTCGCAGAAACATCTTAATCAAGGGGCTGTTAATAAAACAAACATCACAGCTTGCCAAGAACGTGGCCCGCCTTTGCCCCTTGGGACGGGTGGCCAGTGTTCTGGGTCCCACCGGGGGTGGGGGGTGGGGTGGTTCGGGGGGGACGGGGGGCGGCCATCCCAGGGCCTTACTCCTCAAATTCAGCATAAAAAGGGAACCTAGCTCAGGGCTGCTGACTCACCCAATCTGGGGAGCGTAACCTTGGTTCAGCTATCAGCCCAAGGCTGCAAAGGACGGAGCAAAAAAAAGCACCCTCCTTTTGAGAAAGACTTTTTCCAGCAAGAACCCCCCCCTTCCCACAAGCAGGCAGTGGGGCGGAGGAGCAGAGGCAGAGCACCACCGGAGGGACTGGGGCCAGCCCCTTTCCCTCCTCCCCAGGGCTGGGGGAGGATTCTTAAGAGCATGCCAGAAATTCTGTTGGGACAAGCCACAAAAATTCCTTCTCCCAGTTCAGTGGCCTCCGTGTTCTTGCCCAGGTCTCTCGCTCCGCTTGGAATTACGCCGTGCAATTACCAGCACGCCTGTCCCTACAAAGGAGCAGCCTCATCAGCTGCCTGCGCAACCTGTAACCTTAGAAATGATGGAACCACACATCCCCGGGCCTTTATCAAAGGCGCAGTTTGATTTGCAGCCAGCGTGCGTGTGTGTGTGTGTGTGTGTGCACACATACACAGGCAGGAACAAAGGCCCACAGAACTCCGGCACACGCGTTGCACGCACGCAGAAGCCCAGAGGGACACCGTCTTGGGCGCACACAGATCCACAAAGCGTCTTTTTAAGGTCTGTACAGCTTAGCATACTGACATGCATCAACCTGGTATAGACACCGTAGTTTGCTTTAATAATGGCTCACTGAATAATATAAAACTAGCAGGGTTTACGGAATGCACTCAACTATAAACCACGATTTAACGTTTGCAACCTCTGAACTTTGGTGGTGCAAGCCCAGCTTTCTACCATTCGCATGAATCCTTTTGAGGGAGTCTGGCAGCGACACCTCTCCTGACTAACCCATTTTCTCCAAAGACTGGTTTACGGCTACCCTGGGACAAACCCAGCTCTCCTCCTGCAGCTCACTCCGGAGACCCCATTGACAGAGCCGGAAAATGCAGTGCGGGCAGGATGAGGACAGGCACCTGGCCCGGCCACCATGGGGCCAAGTTTACAAGCCAGGTCAGGTCCCTCCCCCTCCCCTAATTCTTCCTTCAAACCAAACCAGAGTGGGGAAGGGGGGCTGCAAACGGCACAAAGGCAGATGGCTGTTTCCAACCCTTGGCCAGAATGTGGC